TTTAAAAAAAAAAAAAAAAAAAAAAAAAAAAGAAATATTACTATTAAAGTATTTCACTGTAAAATAAAAATAAACACAAATAAATAAATAATTTATCTTAAATTGCAACTATAAAATTAAACACTAACATTTATGGCTTAATTTCTTAATTTTCAAAAGTTAAACCATCACATTTTATTTTGAGCATTTACTGTGAACTGAGTCGCTCTGAGATGCTGAAAAACAGATGGATAGTGAACTGGTCGAGTGTAAAAGAACCCAGTGCCATGTTTCACTCTGAAACGTGCAACTCATATATTTATCACAGCCTTTGTGGTTTGATAATCGGACTAAGAAATTTCGGTTTTATTTTTATTAATCATGCAGGCTGGTTCAATGGTCACTAATACTGCCTTATAGATCTTCTTCAGGCCAAGCCTCGCAAAATTAACTTGTTGAAAAAACAAAACAAAACCTGAACAAAGTTCCTGACAAAGACACCAATCATTATGTCAGTCATTATCTTGCAACATCATCTGCACATATTAACACAAATCTTTGCCACAATGTCCTGATTGTTTCATGAGTGATGTCAAATGCTATAAATATATAAATACTAGCAAATCTGCTTATAGTCCTTGATCTAATTTATATTATGTAACCAAAGGGAGTCGTATGACCAGACAAATCTTCTCCAATGTACAACTGGCGTGTGCCACTGGGGCTTGCTGCCTGCAGCTAAATTTGCCATTGCTTTCCCTCACGGGTAAAGCACAAACATCAAGAGGCCTGTCTGGTTTCAGACCTGTAAATAAGACTGAATGTCAGCGTGGCATCACCACCGAACAACAGGACTTCACTTACATTCCGAGAGGCCGACCCAGCATTCTCAAGTCCTTCAGCCTGTCCATTTTCTCCTCTCTTCAGGGTGTGACGACTCCACGCTACTGATCCAGATACAGGAGATCCACTGCAGTCATTGAGTCATTGGCTACGATACACCAATCTGTCTGTGGGAAAAAGAGAGGGAGTGAGAACCAACATAGATGAAGACAAAATGGCTGTCAAAGCACTTCACGTTCTCCTATATTTACACAGCTAAGGGTAATTGATTATATTCAAGACAAAAACACTGACTGAGCGCACAGACACTCTGTCTTATTGCTGAGTGGAGCCCAGTGTTGAGAAATGGTGATTGTTCTTCATTCATCAGCTCTCGAGAGTTGGAGAGACAAATGTGTGAGATAAATGACAGGCTTTCCTCGGCTTTAGAGTCGAAGTGGTCCCGAATTACAGGGTGGTAATTTTTGTGTAGGCCGCTGTATGTTCTAGCTGTGTAATTGGCATACGTTGGTGCTAATGGTGAAGTTACCATGTTCAGGAGATACTAAATTACCATTCATTACAATGGAATAACACAAACAGAGAGTAAAGCTCCACAGTTTTCTACAATAAGTACTGGGCAAACTGGTAAAATTGGGTGTAATTACAAAGAATGTTTGAATAAAAATCATAATTCTCAATTAATTCCCATGATACTGTAATCACTCTTATGCTCACATAAGATAATTTACATATAAATTAAGGCTATAAATTTAACAGGTTAATTTAGTGTTATTAATTGTGTATTAAAAATAAAGCATTCCAAAATTAATGCAATTAATCATGTCTCCCTGACTCGTGCAAATTCATGGGATTAATGGAAAAGAACGCAGGCATGTTTCTAAAAATAAAATTGTTTTAAACTTGACACAATATTTCGAAAATGCAAAGATATTCATCTGCAGTTTGGGGTTTTAATATTTTATTTATTCATTCATTTATTTTTCAAAAGAATTTAAAAACTTTTCTTCAGAAAGGATGCATTAAATTTACTATAAACACATGTATAATGTTACAAAAGAAAGATATTATAATGATTCTTGAAGGATCATGTGACACTGAAGAAAAATTCAGCATAGAGAATAGCTATTCTAATTTGTGAAAAAAAAATCATAATTATACTGTTTTTACTGCATTTTTTATCAAATAAATGCAGCCTTAGTAAGTAATGAGACTTTTTTTTTTTAAAAACTTTAAAAAAAATCATAACCAACCCCAACAATTTGAATGGTAGTGTACGTAAACTAACAACTAAATATAATTAAATATACGGCTGCCAAATCTACCTGCTGCAGGTCAGTGATGGGCTTATGTTCAATGATGGAAATAAACACTGAATTTGTATCATCTATTCAGTGATTCTCTCATCTGCCTCAATAATGCAGACTAATGTTCATGAATTACCTTTAATTAGGGGGGTTCAGCTACAAACAATGATATATGTGATTATTTGTAATTAATTTGATTATTAATTGCCATATCACGTAATTAATCCGATTACAATTTGTTATTGTTTGATAGCTCTCATTAAAACATTAATAAATCAAGACAGCATCTAAACAGTACCTTCACATTGGCCCTCTGAGCAGCATGAAAAACACATTTCCAATTATGCCCAGAAAGTGAGCAACGTGACAATACTAGCGCGCTCCCAGCCATTTAAACCACTGAAGCTGTCACTGTAAGTTTACACAGTTTGAGCCTTGCAGTCCAGCGCGAGTTCACTGAGTTCTGGACTCGCAAATGCTCCCCTTTAAATCAACAAAGCTGTCTCTACTGCAGATAAATATCTAATTTACACCTCGCTATATTGGCTGTTACACCGATTCCACTGCAAGCTAGCGGCACGACACGTAACAAATCCAAAAGAATGCCAAATTACCATTTCGCTTTGGTTCTAAAGCATCTAAATGTCAGGTAATGTTTCGTCAGCGCTCAATTTCACGTACCATCGCTGACAGAAATGAAACATGAAACACAGATGTATAGATCAGATTGCTTATAACTCGCTCATTAAGGACCAGATGTTATTAATCATGGTAAATTGTTTTAAACACCTCCGATTGGCCATTGCATCCATGTGCATGACTGACGTGTCTGTGATCGGTTACAAAGCTCAACATCAGCAAAAATACGCAACCTAGGGTCATCGGAAAAATGTTAACTACTATTTAACTACTGTACATTTCTGCAAAACTCTCAAAACTACATATGCAGCTGACTGCAGTTTCCAGTTCAGCTTAAATTAACACCTTTTACACACCCTATGATTACAGGGCAGATTATTGGTTCATAAAGGGTTATGTTTGTGTGGTTCCTTGCACAATACTATGATATAGGCTCAAAATACTTTGACCATGTAGTGCATAATTTGTAAAGTAATACATTTTGATGTTTGCAGAGCCCAGTCTCATGAAAATGTGTATAAATAGTACGCCAAATAAAAACGAAAACTCGTGTTTTTGATATGCAAAAATGGACTTTGGCGTGCATATGATACGCACGTGTTTGGCATGCATATAATATGCAGTTTTTGCGTGCATATGATACGAAATTTATTGGCGTACATATGATACGCAGTTTTCGCGTACATATGATACGCATCTACCCCACAACCCTAAACCTACCCATCGTGTAGCATATACATGCCAAAGTCCATTTTTGCATATCAATACCACGAGTTTTCGTTTTTATTTGGTGTACTATTTTACGCACTTTCATGAGATCGGGTTGGTTTGCATCACATAACCAGCTCTAAATGCATAGCTTTTCTGACATTGTAAACTTGCTCGTTAGCGCACCCGGTACAGCATTACTCTTGCATTGCAAAGTGAGTCCTGTGAAACATGAGTCATGATAAAAGAGCTCAAAGTCTTGTAAAAGCAAGATAAAATGACATGGTTGCCACAAATGTGTTTTAATCTCATGTTTTCTTTTGTTAACCTTATCGGTTAGGTTTAGTATAGATGCTACATTATTTTCAAATACGATTAACCATTTAGGGCTATTCACCGGATATTTGATTTTCAAACTTCCCCAATACGTTTGATCTGTTTTAGATAAAAATTAACAAGCTTTTAGTGCTTTTTTCACTCTGAAAGTGTCAGGCAACATGCAAGAAACAATGTAATATCATTTTGCAGAAAAGTTGCCACAGGCTTGTTTTTCCAATGACCATGTTGCAAGAAAATTCAATGTCACTTTTCATGATTAGGTAATCATGGTAGCAATAATCATAATGTCCATTTGATTAATGTGCAGTCCTTAATTAAATCTTACACTGAATTAAATCAAATTGAATATAAATGTATTTTCTGAGATATTTATGCTCCTCCACATTTAAGGGTTAATGATGTTCTGTTCCCTACGCAACCAGATCAATATGCATCACTTCTACAACAAATACATTCATGACACAGATAACAACAACCGTTAGTCTTCACGCATTTGTAAAGAAGCAGTTCAAGGATAGACAGGTACAGTCTGTCCAAAGGCAGAACAAACATTTAGATGTTACATCAGAGAAATCTGTGACAGGCAGTGAAGGAAAATGTTGTGCATTTGAACAGTTCCTATTTAAGGAAATATGCTTTCATTAAAGCCAATGGGAACTGTTGGGTCACATTGGCAAATCTGCACTGCTTGACTGCAATTGTGTAAGCCTTGAAATTCAAAAGCTGAAGCAGAATCCTTTTTGAGCACCTCAGGGATTGGAGCTGAGGAGACGAGAAACTTTCAAAAATCACTTCATTTGCCATTTCTACCAGCTTCTGACTTCGTAACCTTTGAATACAAATTTGTAAACACTCTCTTGTAGGCTTATATGCAATTGTCTAATGTGTACAGAGTTATTGAATTGCCATTAAAGCATGACATAAAAGTAATGACCAGAACATACCACTTCATTTGAAGGACACACTACAAGCTTTGACTATAATATTGGGTTAATTAAACAAGATACTATTCAAAAGTGAGTATTTAAAACAAACGTAAAACGTAACAATACAACCGGTTGCTTTTCTGGTCGTTTGAACAAATAATCTTTTTCATATTTCCTTCACACATCCCTGGTTTTCTTTCCCATCTTTAGATATGCAGATTTCAAAAGAGCCACATCTAAGAAAATGCCAAACTTTCAACAGTCGCAGCTACTGAGCTGAGAAGCGACACCGTACCGCAATACGTCTACGAACACACTAGCATATGTGCACACATATACACTCACTCACTCATGACATTGCTTAGCTTCTCAGGCATGACATCAAGGAATCGCTTCATCTCTCCATTCCGATGAAAGTGAAACGCTCGTCCAAATAAGTCCAATCTGGCAACCTGAGCGAAGCAAGGCGAGTGTACGAGAGGAGCGTTCGGCATCAGTGCGCTCCTCCATTCCAAACAGGCCTGCTGTCTACACTTTTTTACAACAAGCATGCGTCAGATCTCTATGTTGTTAACAATCTAACTTCTCAAGCATTCCTCTGTGATTTATATAACATAACATATAAGGACAGGATATTTACATTTATTTATTTCAATGCTTTTACCCAAAGCGATTTGCAAATGAGGAATGCGGGTGCAGTTGCGTATCTTAAAGAGAGAATGCCTTTATGAAACAAACACACAAGACACATCCACAAAGACCATCTGAAGCAAGAGGTTTTACAAGGTAGCACCTTGAAATAGTGATTTTTCGGAAAGAACTAGCTAGTAAAAACAACTTTATTTTCTGGCTTATATCAGATTTGCCCTATTTTTGGGGGTCCTTGTGAGTAGACTGTATGCCGAGAGTCAGAAGTCTGACTATGCACTATTCTCCGTGGTCCAGTTCATACTATATCACGTCATGCCATCTGAATCCTCTGAACGTTCATCTGCTGCTAATGAGGTTATTATGATAATGGGCATGTAAATGTGCTGGAAAGACCCGTTATCTATGATGTTAGCCATTTCGCCCTGCTTTTCTATCACTTGTAATAACAAATCCTAAACGAAGCGAATGTTGGATTGGCATGGCAGCAGTACTCGCTTTGGCTGAGATACGGTTCACATGGAAATAAGGCCAGAGCCGAGCAAGGGGGTTGCAGGCTTTGTGACCTGAGACACTGAAGCAGCTGTCCGGTCAACAGCA